TAAAATATTTATCTCTAAAAGATAAAAATATTGTATTAATAAAATAAAATTTTCATACTAATTATTTCATTCCTAATATTTTTAACGAAGCTTATTATAATATTATTTTTAAGTAATTATACAATAAAGTTTTTATTCTTTGCTTGTAGTTCAATTTCAATTTTCTTTAATAATAGAAAACAAAAACTAATTAATATAAAATGCAAATTTTTTGAAAAACCAAATAAAAAGAAAAGCTAGTAGTTTTAATTGAATGGATTTTCCAAATTACTTGTTTCATTGTTAATATCAAAAGAAGATAAATCAAAAGTAGAATGGAAAAATCTTATAAAAGAACAATAACAATAAATTACTTATTAAAAAAAATGAATATAATAAACAATAAAAAAAAACTGAAAAAAAAAGAATAATTACTTGAGAAATAAACAATTGAATTCTCTTAATACTGAGAAGAGCCTATTGTCTAATTTATTTAATATGTTTTACTTTTATTCAAAAATTCAAATAACCTTTGATAGAAAGCAATAGAACAAAAGTTATTGTTTTCTCTTTAACAATATATCGTTTAATTATTTTAATATTATTTAATAATTATCAATAAAAGAATAGGTATGAAAGAGTACAACAACATATACTTTTATCAATTATTTATCAAATGAATGGTATTTTAAATAAGAAAAAAACAAAAATAAAGGGTTTCAAAATAAAATAGAGGGTTTAATAAAACTAAAAAACAAAGGGAAAATTGTGATGAATCAAAAAGGAACAAAAAAAGTTTATCAAATAATAACTAAACAATGTTTAAAAAGTATTCAAGAAAGGTTATTTATGGATAGTGATAATGTTGAACAATTTATCACTCAAGAATCGTTAAGTAAGTTTACTGATGGTCAATTAAATTTTATTATAGGAAGCATTAAAGAAAGTCAAAAAGATGGAATTTTTGAACAATGTTTTGACTTTCCTGAGTTTTATAGTTTGTTTTAATAGAATGAAAAAATTAATAACAAATTAATAACATTCATTTCTATTAGAACCTAGAGATAAATTTATTGCTGAAGTTGTCGATATGCTAAATGCTGAAATTGAAATACTTTCTAAAAGACCAAGTATCTCAAAAACAAAAAATATTTTCAATTTTAAAGAATTAAAACATAATTTTTTATCACAAAATAATGTTCCAATAAGAATGAATAAAGAAGAAAATTCTATATTAATTAATGGAGATAAAGAAAATGTTATTACTTTAGTTGACAACAATATTATTAATGAAACTGGAAGAAAAATAAATACAAAAACTGAAACTGATGAGAGTGAAAGGATAGTAAATGAACCTTTTGAAGAAAAAGAAGATAAAAATCCAAAACAGTCTCTTGAAAAGAAAAGACAAAAGAAAAGTAATACAATAGATCCAATCATTGAAGAAATTCAACATCATTATTATCGTAGAAGAAGATTAACTCATTCATTAAAAGAAGCAAAAATAGGTAACGAAGAACTTTTAAAAACATCGCAACATTCTCATAATGGGAGAAATTGTGTTTCATCTCCTATTTTTCAAGAAGTAAATATTATAAATTCTAACTCCTCTTCAAATGAAAAAGAGTTTGAAACACATTCTGAATCAAAAGAAAGTTCAGTTCAAATAATTGAAGAAGATATTGATATTCTAACAAATGAAAAAAATAATTGTTTATTAGCTAAGGATAGAAAAAGAAAAATAATTCCAATAAAAGAAGCACAAGCTCCATTAAAAGAAGTTAAATGTTATATTAAACAGAAGACTCTTCAAAAGAAAATGAAACAAATAAAAAAGAAGCAAAATGAATCAGATTCTATAATTGTTAATGATGGAATGGATATGGAAATGGTTAACGAAGAAGCTAAGGATTTTGAGTTAACAGAAAGAGTCCCAGAATTTTGTAACAAATTTAAAATACCATTCTTATTTTTTAAATCACAACATCCATTATATAAAATTAAAGAAATCTATTCTTTTAGTAAACATGCAATAAGAGTATATGACCAGCCTGAGAGTAGTGAATATTATGTCCGTTTTATTAATGAAAATGGAAGTGATGTATTTTTAAATGATATTCATGTTAATGGAAAAGTATTTAATTTTATAAAACCAAATCATTTTGAAAAAGAATATGAAACCGCTAATGTTGTAATCCCTTTGAATTTGCAATTTGACAAAAATGGGATATGTAACATTTCTATTTTTGATGATAATACTTATATTGTCGTAATGAAGTGTGAAATTAGATTTAAAAAAGATATCATTAATATGGTTGACTTCAGCTCTCACTTACAAGAATTAAAAGAAATATGTTTGAAGTATCAAGTGCCTTTTGATGAAATACAAATTAAAGACCAATATGAAGATGACGATATTAATATATCATTTGATGTTCCTTTAATTTGTCCAATAGGGTTAAATAGAATTGAAAATCCTGTAAGAGGAAGGGCTTGTAAACATATGACTTGTTGTGATTTAAAAAATGTTATAAGTTGTTGTTTATACACAAATGTATGGAATTGTCCTATTTGTTTAATGAAGTCTTATTACTACGACTTATTTATTGACTCCCGCTTAAAATATTATTTGTCTTTTGTCCCAGAAAGTATTAAAAAGGTTTTATTTATTGGAAATGAAATTCAAATAAAGAATCGTGAATTAGAGTCTGAGGAAGAAGTAAGACTTAACTTAGAATAAAAACTGTTGATTGAATGGATATTATTTTGTTTCAGTTGTTAATTAAACTCTTTAATCTAGTCATACCTTCTTTTAAGTTCGGTAGTTTCCATAATAACAATAAATTATTTTCTGGTACT